TGCTGCAGGAAGGAGAAGGGTGTCCAGGGGTTGGGCTCTACAGGCCAGCTGGACACCGAGATGTCACTGGCTTTTCCTGAGTCGACCATGGGCTCATTCATGCTGCTGCAGCTCGTGTCCCAGCCGTACGGGAAGCTGGCAGCAAAATCCATTGGGAATTAGAATAGGTGGGAGGGGGTCAAAATGTATTGCTGGCACAGCAACCCCGGGGCCCTCAGGAGAGTGATGCAGCTCCGGGCTGATGTGCTGCAGCTGCAGCCAGCGTCGGCCATTCTGAGTAGCAGTGCCAAAAGGAAGGGCCCGGAATGCGGGAGGCTGTGCGCCGGTACCGGGGCAGCAGCTGGGAGCTTCCTGCTCCCTTATTCCGTTATAATCCCTAGAGCTAATTACGAGCCCACGTGGGCACGCGGACAATTCCCACTGCAGCTCTGAGCCTTTCTGCACCGCTCTGTACACGGAGGGAAACCACCCGTCCGCTCCGGGCTGCAGAAGGGCGCTGCGCCGTCGGACCCGAGAGCCCGCGAGGGGCTGAGCGCGGCCCCGCAGCTCCCCGTGCCCGCAGCCCCGCACCTACCCGTGTCCGCGGGCGGGCGGCTCCGGGCGCAGCGCGGCGCTGAGCGGGTCCCGGCGGCAGCAGCAGCCGTCGTCCGGGAGGTGCAGGTGCAGGAGCTCCTCCGAGCGGCTGAAGGCGGGGTTGTCCAGGGAGCTGCCCGAGCCCGGCCACGAGCGCGCCCAGTGCGGGGCCGCGGCCTCGTCCGGGCGGCAGAAGCGGCGGTAGCTGCGGGCGGTGAGCGCTGCGGAGCTCCGGGCGCCGTCCGTCCCCCGGGGCTGCCCACCCCGCCCCAACCGCCCCGATCCCCGCGCCCCGCCCCGCCCGCACCCACACCCACCTGCTGCGGCCCTGCTCGGCCCGCGCCTCCCGCAGCAGCGCCCGGAACCTGCGGACCACGGCGGCCCCGACGGCGATCCCCAGAAGGACGACGCCGAGCAGAGCGCCCGCGGCCGCGCCCAGCAGCCCCGACAGTGTCACTCGCCGCTCGCAGCGCAGCCCCACGAACCAGACGTCGCTGCCGGCGGGGCACCTGCGCGGGGATGCGGGGCGCTCAGCGGCGGACGCGCGGGGCGCTGGGGTGTTGGGCGGGGCGGCACCCACCGGCAGAGCGGGCCGCGGCCCCGGGGGTGCGCGCACACGCCGTGGTTACGGCAGTAGTCGCGGTGGCAGAGCGACGTGCACGTGGCGTTCCCGTCCGCCCTCACGACGCAGGCGAAGCCGTCGGGGCAGGAGAACAGCGCTGCGCAGGGCTCCGGCGCTGATAGGAGGACGGGAGAGAGGGCGGCGGCGGCGGGGCCGTGCCGCTCCGCACCCTCCGAGGGCCGCCGGGCCCCGCGCCTCTCGCCCGCACTCACCGCGTGCCGTGTGCCGCAGGACGCGGGCGGTGCCCACCGCAGCTCCGCTGGAGCGCAGCGCCGCGTCGAGGAGCGCTCCCAGCGCCGCCGCCCGCACCAGCTCGGCCGTGAACAGCGCGTCGTAGTGCAGCACCACCTGACGGGAGCTGCCCGCCCTGCGGGACACGGCACTGCGGTTGCGCCCCGCACCACTCCGCACCGCCGCGGGAACGCCGGGCACTGCGGGGCCGTCCCTACCTGACGGCCGTCACCTCGAGGCGCACGAAGCCGCGCACCGCCGCCAGCCGGGCCGCCACCTGCGCGGGAGCCATGGGTGCCATGCGGGACCGCCCCCACGCGATGCTCCTCCCCACGGGGCGGCCCCACGCTCACCGTCCGGTTGAGGCTGCTCAGCAGCACGTGGTGCTCGTGGGACGCGGGGTCGCGCAGCGCGGGCACGAAGGCCATGTCCAGTGCCAGCTCGCAGGGCACGCGCAGGAGGGACGCTGCGGGGACAGGAAGGGCTCAGCATCGCCACCGCCTCCCGTGCCGGCGGCTCCCGGGAGGATCACCCCGCCGCCCACCTCGCAGCTGCGGCGGTTCATCCTCCACGATGAACTCCGGGGTGGCCCTGCCTGCTGTCTCTGGGTTTGGTGTTACGCATGTGGGGCCGGCGTGTGGCCGCTCCGTGGGGCTGCTCTGTGGCAGGGGCGGCTCTGCACTCCTGGGGGGGTCTGGGGGCTGATGGGGGGACCCCGGCACCTCACTGGGCCCCTGCGTCAGCTCCTCCACAGCCCCCTGACACGCAGCACTGATGGGATCCACCGGGGCTGTCCTCTCATCCCTGAGAAGTTCGAGGCTGGTGGCAGTGGCTGTGCTGGTGGCAGTGGCTGTGCTGGTGGCAGTGGTGGTGATGCTGGTGGTAGTGCTGATGGCAAAGGTCAGCAGAGGTGGAGATGATGTGGGTTGGGTCAGGGCTGGCAGTGGAGAGCTGGGGGCCACGGGAAGGGCTGTGCTTGGTGGTGCAGTCGTTGCCCAAGGCCCAGCATCACCTGCCCACATCGGGGTCCATCCTGGGACCTGAGGGCTCTCAGCATGTTCATGCCCTGGGGACGCTGCTGGGTGGGTGTCTGTAGTGGGGTTGAGCCCCAGGGAGGGCTGTGGGCCCAGTGAGGGTGGGGCTTCCCCCGGCAAGGCTGAGATATGCCAGGTCTGGTTCATGGGGACACGGTTGGGCCCAGGGGGACTCTGAGTGTTGGGCAGCCCCAACACTTCTGTGGTCAGGGCTGGGGCTCCCTCAGGGCCTTGGAACATCACCCCTGGGGCAGTGGCTGTGGAGCTGGGGTCAGGAGGCAGACGTGACTCCATGGGCAGTAGGGCTGTGCTGGCCCCAGGGCCCTTGGGATGCCACATCAGCCCTCCACGGCCACCAACCTCTGGGGACAGCAGAGGGGGGTGGGAAGTGGCATGAAGACTCAGCCAGGCCATGGTTGTCCCCTGCAATGAGTGGGACTCTCCTGCTGGCTCTGTCCCTGCCAGTACCTGATGTGTCCTTCCTAGTTCCCCAGGGGAGCTCTGCAGACTCTGCAGCCCCCCCACAAAAGACAGTGTCCCACTTGTCCCTGTCACAGGGCTGTCTGTTGTGTGTCCCTGGGGGGTCTCTGCTCTGCTGTCACTGGGTGGGATAGTGGCACCCCTGCCCTGTGGCTCCAGAGCAGGGTGTGAGGGGATGAGTGAGCCCCCCCAGCTCTGTGTGAGCACTGTCCTCATAGTGCTGGGGGTTCCCCACTGCCCCCTAGAGCTGCTGGGCAGTGTCACATGGGACGATGAATGCAAGAGTGTCCTCTGTGGGGTTGAGGAACTTTCTGCCTTCTCATTTCCTATGGGCTCAGTCCCGGGGGCAGCACTGCTGGCTGGAGCTGTGTTGAGCTCCATGGTGACTGCTGTGAGAACCCTGGCTGGGCTTTCCCCTGGGCGTGTAGGATACGTTCCCTCTCTGCCTGAAGCTGCATCAGTGGTACCAGCAGAGGGTGAAGGCTGTGCCTCGGTGCTCACTCCATCCCGCACCGCAGGGCCCGTCCCGGCCTCCCCAGGGCTGCTGCTGGTGCCGGAGGGCTCAGCAGTCCCTGGTGGTGTCCCAGGGAAGGGAAACAGCTCAGCCTCTGTTTGCAGCCACCCCGCTCCGTGCTGCGGATCTGCGGGCAGAGGCAGAGGGATGCTGAGCGGGGCAGCACCCTGGGCGGCACGGCACCAACACGCGGGATCACCCCGCAGGCAAAAAGCCCATCGGCCCCATCGCGGCACGGTACCTGTCCGGCAGCGCTCCCCTGGGTGGGCGCAGGGTACGGCAGTGCCCCGCGTGGAGCCCATCCCACTGCCGAGAGCGGGGCAGAGCCGAGCGCAGCACCCCACGAGCACTGCGGAAGGAACGGATTGGGCGTCAGCGCCGAGCGCGGGGCTCCGCGCATCGCCCCCCGCCAAGTCCCGGCAGGCGGCGACGGCGCAGCGGAGACACGGCCGTCCCGCACCGCGGCCTCGCGCCCCCGAAGGCGCCGCCCGCACACCGGCACGAGCCCGAGGCGCCGCCAGAAAGCACCGCACGTGCGGGCACGGAGCCGCCGGGCCGCCCCTCCCCGGCAGAGCGGCGCGGAACAGAGCCGGGCAGGGCCGCGCGAAGGGTGAAGCGTTTTCCGCGCTTTGCACGCGGCTCCCGCGGGGCAGCGGCGGGCGTGGGACCCTTTGTGCCGCGGGAGTCATTTCCTGCGAAGGGAAAAGCGCGGGCATCGCTCAGCGCCCGGCTGGAACCCGCCGCCTTTGTCTCGGCTCGCGGAACGCAGCCGCTGCCCCGCAGTGCCGCTGCCGGCTCTGAGCTGCGCGGCGCCGCAGGCACCGCACGGACTGGACGGAGCGCCGCTCCGAGCCGACGAAGGAACCGCCCGGCCCGGCGCCCCTCCGAGCCCCCCGCCCCGAGGCGCCGGCACGGGGACGCGCACGAGGACACCGCCCCTGCGCGGGGGGGGACGCGCATCCCCCGGGGAAAACGGGGCCGCGGCCGCCGTCCGCCCGTGCGCGGACGGAGCCGGGGGGCACCGAGAGCTGCCGGGGGCCCGGACCCTCTCCCGCCGCACGTGGCTGCCCAGAGCTGAGCTCCCCGCGGGCGCCGGGCCCGGCCGAGAGAAGCCGATACAGCGCGGTGACGGCCCCCGGCCCCCCGCCCCCCCGGCGCTCCCCGCGGCCCCTCCCGCCCTCCCGCGTTGCGGGGTCCCGGTCCCTTAGGAGGCTCCCGGCGCTCACCTGCGGCGGCCACGAGCCGCGGGACCCGCTCCATGCTGCTGCTGCCGCCGGCGGCTCCGGAGCGCAGGAAGCCCCCGCCCGTTCCCGCTGCCGCGGGGCGGAGGCGCCCGGAGCCGCAGCCCCCGGCCCGGCCCGGCCCAGCGGGGAGCGGCGGAGCGGCGGGGCTGGGGCGGGCCCGGCTGCGGGCGGAACCCGGTCCTGCGGCACCCGCGGGATTAGAGAGGGAACCCGGAGCCGCGATCCTCTCCGGGGCTGCCCGTCCCCACCCGCCGCATCCCTGCGGAGCCCCTCGGACGCGGCTCGGCTCCCCCCTGGGGCTGGGAAGGACCGTCAAGAGGTCCCCCCGTCGCCGCCCTCCCGGCACGCAGCTGCAGCGCTGAGCGGGCCAAGGCTCTTGCACACCGACCCGACACAGAGCGATGACCGCACGGGGTACCACCCCAGTGAGAGCCGCCACGAGTGCTTTCTCCCGTTTCCATTGCACGACATGTTCAGAGAATATTTCAGTTCATTTAAGAGGAAAGAGCTGTTTCTTACTCGATGAAACCGGGCCCTGAGGAGCAGCGGGGCACCCTCGGGCCGGGGGCACATGGCAGTCTTGAGTGAAATGTGGTTCTCCAGAGGCTCTGAAAACAGCACCCACCCCATATTAAGACTCCATGTGGAGCAGCAACAGACTGGGGCTTATTTTCCACCATCCCATCACCCGGATTGCCAGAGGAAGGCACGTTATCAACTGACACTTCTTGGCTCACAGCCCAGCAGTGCCTCTTTGACATATGAAAGTGTTTCTTGGCTGAGAAGAAAAACCATGTAGTGTCCAGAAATACTTTTTTTTTTTTTCCCCTGCCTCAAGAGAGATTGAAAGCAAACCTCCTGTGCTGGGATGAGCTACACTTACCAACACACCGATGTGGTTTTGCATTTCCCTCCTTTAATTTCCATTGAAAAAACAGAAGCCAAAAATGGGACTCATTTTTGCCAGCATTTATGAAATAAATAGTAAAGGTAGAAAAAAAGCATTTTATTGGAAAGAGTAGCACTACAGCAGTGAGATCACAGTACTCAGCTCAGCAGCAGAGGCTGTACTGGAGCTCCCACTCAGGTATACGATGCTCTTTCAGTCTGCCATACAAGGAGCCCTCCAGGCTGTGCAGCTGATGCTGCTAGCTCACAGTGCAATGAGCCCCAGCAGTGTCTCTTACCCTAAAAACCAGCCCCAGTGGGCTGCAACTGTGAAACAAAAAAGGCATCATCAACACCACCATGGTCTTATATATTTATTCTTTTTTTCCTCATTTTCAAAGGACAACATATTCAGACAGCTTTAAATACAACGTCCAAGTACAACTTTCTGATGAAAGCAGCAGCAGTGCAGCATGTGCGCTTATACCCACTGACATCAGGGCCATCCTAGTGGTAGACATCTCCTGTTCAAAAAAAACATCCACACATTTAGTAATTCATCAGCTGAAAGCTACCACAAAAGAGGCTGGTCAGGCAGAGACACGACAAGTGCTGAAGAACACCAGAGGAAGACACATACATAACGGCACAAGTCTTGCAAATCCCAAGATTGTCACCTTTTTTTTCCTCATCTATTCTTGGCTCAGAAAGAGCAGCAAACAGGCACAGCTCCTTCACTGACCCCTTACACCTCAATCCCAGGGAAGATCGAGGCAGGGGGGAAGTGAGAAGCATGCACAAGAGCAACAAACAGGAATCTGCCTCCACGTGCTAGTGCTGCACACAGCCCTGAGGCCATCGCTCACTTCCCCTGCAGCCCCCAAGTGCCTCTCAGGCTGCCGCTGGAATAACCCTTTCCTCATCGTTTCCTTTCCTGCCGCTGTCCCAGGCTGCGGCTGATGAGAAAGCAGCTGCTAGCTGCAGCTCAGAGCTGTGCTGTCACCCACCCCTAGAGAGCGCTGCTCAGCACACTCTGCGAGCAGCCGAGCTCTGAAGGATGGACTCAAAGTCAGTTCACCATCTACTAACAGACTGGTGGATTCCTGCAGCGCTTGGCGTGGCATAGAGACCTCTTCAGAGGCACGTTTATACTTACTCTGCTTTGCAGAATTGCTTCTATTCATAAACATCCTTCTTATCTGCAATGTAATCTACAATCTCTTGTGGACACATTAATTTTTCTGCATCTCCATCAGGAATTTCAAAGCCTGGAAGAAAGCACACAGATTCAGCCCAAAACAACGGAAATGGGAGCAAGGCTGAAGGAAGCAATTACTGCTGGCTCAGATGTCTGCAGTGCAGCCGAAAATAAACACACAGAGGTTGCTTCTCCACTGCAGTCAGAGTCAGCATCTCGTTACTACAGCGAGTTTCAGTCTGTGCTATGCCTTACATGACAGTGACTCTGGATAGGAGACGAGGCAGAAGCAGCAGGTGCTGCAGAGCCAGCCACTGTCCCTGAGCACCGCCGAAGCCATTAGTGCCTAATCAGGGCTCCCACAGAACACAGAAGAGGGATGTTCTGGGTAACTGCAGGCAAGCAAGAGCCAGAGCCCCTCGGGTTCAGTTTGTCGAGCGCTCATAAAACAAACAGAGCCGCAGCCCGGGCTGGGGAGGTGCAGGGGCTCTCAGATCTGCTCAGAAATACAACCCAGAACACGGAGCTCCCCTCTGCCCGGTCCACGCGGACGCACACGGCACGCAGCGTGCCATTACCGAACTCGTCCTCCATGGCCATGATGATCTCCACTTGGTCCAGGCTGTCCAGCCCCAGGTCCTTCATGAAATGCGACTCGGCCGTCAGCTGGGGGTGCACACAGGCGGTCAGCTCCCGCTCCCGCTCCCGGCCCCGCCCCCCCCGGCCCGGCCCCCGCTCGCCTTCTCGGGGTCGATCTTGTCGTACAGCTTCAGGACGTACAGGACGCGCTCCTTGATGTCGGCCAGCGTCAGCGGCGGCAGCTCCGAGTAGCGGCGGCACGGCGCAGGACCCGCCCGCGGCACCGTGGGGATAAAGGCGGGCTGCGGCGCCCGCGGACGGCCGGGGCGGAACGTGCCGAGCGCGGCGCGGGGGACGGGGAGAGCGGCGGCGCCGGAGCGGGGCAGCAGGCGGCGGACGCAGGCCGAGAGGACACGGGCCGCCATGGTGACCTGATCCCAGCAGCCCCCGCGCCGCGCCCGGAAGCGCGTGTGCTCGGCGCGAGAGCGGCGGCGGGCGGAGGGAGCGGCGCCCCCTGGCGGCGGGAGGCCGCGCGGCCCCCGATCCCGGTACGGCGCGGACAGACGGAGCGTCACCGAAGCGAAGCCTTTAATAACAGCAACAAACGCCGCGCGCGGCCCCGAGCGAGGCGCGGTCAGCCCGCCCCGTGCCGCGCGTAGCGGTACACGCAGACGCTGCCGTCCGCCCGCCCCGCCAGCAGCCCCGCGTCCACCGCGCTCCAGCGCACCAGAGTCCAGCGGCTGTCCGAGCCCGGCGGCAGCAGCGCGGTGCAGCGGCCCAGCAGCAGGTCCCACACCGCGATGGCCCCCGAGGTCAGCACAGCTGCAGCCCAGGCGTCCTTCACCTCCCCTTCCAGGTACCTGCAGGAGACACCTTGCGTCACCGGGCTGCGGCTCGGCTGGGAAAACGCCGGCGCAGCCTTTAATGCAGAGCCATTGTGCACCTAGAGAATCTGCAAGCACGTTTCAGCCGATGTAGAGAACCGGGTTATGTTAAATACTGCATCTTTAGTGCATTTGGAAGAAAAGGAGGTTCGTGCAATACTCCCCTAGCCTCAGAATGTAAAAATTGTTCTGTTAGCCAGGATCTCAACCTGCTAATACTCGTGCACATAGGCAATGTGACAGACGCATTGCAACACTGAGTCTTAAATAGATCAAAATGCAAGACAGGAGAATGAAAAGGTCATCAGACTGCAAACAGCTGCTTAACATAAAGAAACCAGGCAAAGCTCTACTTAACATCACAAAGGCTTACACCAGTCTCATTTGCAGGTATTTTCTCAGGAGGTTTTTGACTAAGGAGTTGGTCTGATGAATCCAGCTACAGCATTTCCATAGTCACTTTGACTGGGGAGAAGGGGAAGGGAAAGAAAGCGTACAGCATGCAGAAAATCACTTCTCCCGTTTGTTCACAGAGCTCTGGGGAGCAGAGCCTCCT